TTAGGAACTCGTCTTCTTGAATGGCTATACATATGCCTAAAACATCATGTCGCACAGTAGCGCAAAGTGACAAAAGTGGTCGTGGATCTCCCGCGGCGAACAAAACCGACCTGAAAAGGAAGTGGCTGAAATTTCAAAAAGTACCAGAACGGTGCATGGATATGCTGCACTTGCTTAGGCAAGTTGAAAGGTAACGGTTCCCATGAGCAGCATTCAGTAGTGTTGATGTGTAACTGTAGCCTGCTTAGGGAGCAGTAATTTAAAACTGGTTGCTGAAAAAATAAATTAATGAAAAAAATTTGACAAGAGGTTTACTTTAATGCAGCACGAGTGGCAGCACTGTGTTTGGGTCTTGTGATTCATTAGACCAACGGAATTATTTGTTTGGTACTCGCTTTCCCAAAAAAGAAGTCTTACAAAGAGAGACTGTCTAGCACAGTTTTTCCATTTAATAAAAAAAAATTAGGAAGAATCATTTAAAAATTTAAAGAAAGTGTTAGGCGTTTCTGGTAAAATCTAGCCAGCAGCGAAGTCAGACCTCTGGTATGATTTGTTGGTTTTGTGGCAAAATTATAATTCTTTGCTTGTGTATTCAGTTTTTTATTCCAGTTAGCAAATTGGCAAATTTTCTTTTTATCATCAGTCTTCCTCTCTCGAACTCATCTGTTACAAACGGCTACCTACCAAATGCAGTCGGAGAAACTGCAAATGTTCTGGTCGCTTGGTTGCTAGGTTGCTATTCGTTTTATGGCTCTCTTATGGACCCACAGTAATACTTTATGTAGTCAATGCAGCAGAGGATCCTGTGTGAATGGGTGCTGAAATATTCAATACCCGGGTTTCATCAAGGGCTATTTTCCTCTTTAAAAAAGGAAGAATAACAGAGAAGCTGGGAAGCAAGGAAAAAACCGGAGGGATTCAGTGATTTTTATTCATCCTTCAGTCGTCGATATGTATAGTATAATATAGAAAAACAATAAAAATTGTACCACATGCACGAATAGGGATGTGTATCTGTTGGCAACGAATGCGCTAATAGGAATTTTGAAAAAGCTGAGGGCGATAAAGGGAGAACATATTTTGAAAAGCTTTCAAAATATTAATGAGTTTCTATTTTTTTCGTTTCTTTTGCAGTTTCGCATTATTATTTCGAAGAGAACATTAAAAAGAAAAGTGTTTTTTTTCTGCTTTTGCTCTAAACCAATTTTAGTTGTTGTTTTATTAAATCATTCTTCTATACCGGTATAGAATTTGTTGGTAAGCAAATTTTCACTTGTTACTGAATTTTGCTCTTTTTTTTTTTACGCTTCACTTCTACTTTTACTTTATTGTATTTTATTATCATTACCATTAGTTTATGTTGTTGCATATTTTTGGGAGGAACAGCTATAAAATTAATTTGTATAGTGCAGACAAATGAGAGGAAAAATAGTTTTGCAATTTTTTTCTCTTCTTACCAGAAAAAAGTGTAAAGGAAAAAAATGGTTTTTTTTTTTACAATTTCTCCTAAAAAAATAGAAATTACGGAAAGATTTATTTTAAGTCTTTTTTACGGGGTTGTACTTTTATTTGGTTATTATATGGTATTAGTTGATGGAGTTCTTCGTTTATAGGGCTCATTTTTTTTTTTTGCTTTGCTTTACTTTTCTTTCCTTCCTGTATTGCATTTGCTTTACTTTGTATCTTATTGTTCAACAGTTTGTGAAATTTCAAACTGGTGGAAAAAACACTTTTTCCACTTTTAATCTTCTCCTATTTTAGCATTGTTCTTTTTTGTCTTCTTTTCTGTTACTCCTTTTTTTTTTGCTCCATTTATTGTTTGTTTCGTATTGTTCTGCTTTTTTTT